GTCCGCCCGGCGCGCCGCCCTCATGGAGCTCTGGCCGTGGCTGAGCGCGGCGCTACTGCTGCTGCTGCTGCTCGTGCAGCTGAGCCGGGCCGCCAACTTCTACGCCAGGATCGGCCTGTACTGCGCGCTCTGCTTCGGCGCCTCCGCCGCGGCCTCACTGGTGTGCCTGCTGCGCCACGGCGGCCGCACCGTGGAGAACATGAGGCGAGGGCGCGGGGCCGGCGGGGTGGGGGAGGCCCGGGGGGGGGCAGACCCGCCGGGGCGGGGAGCGGGGAATCCGAGTGAGGGGAGACCCGGGGGGGCGGAGACCCCGGGCGGCGGGGAGACCCCGGCGTCGGGGGAGGAGATGGAGCCCAGGGCGCGCCGCGTGGGGGCGCAGAGCGCGTCGGCCCGCCGCCGTCCGCTTCCGCCGGGCGAACTTTTTCCCTCCTTCCTGCCCCGCCCCTCCCGGAGCTCCAGCCGGGGCGCGGCTGGGGCGAGGGCCGGGTCACGGTGACCCCCCCACCGCCGGGCCAGGACGGACGGGGGTGCAGACGGGTCTTTGCGCCCGCGCGCCTGGGGCGTGCCAGGTGCGGGGCGGCGGGGTGCCCGGCGGCTTTCCAAGAGAAGGCGGAGCTGGGCCGAGCTGGGCGGGTCTCGTTCCTGCTTCCCGGGCGGGACTGGCGGGTTCTCCCGCGTTGGGTCCTGGCAGACCACCGCAGGGTCAGAGGTCGCTGGAATTGAGGTTCCCCCCTCTCGCCCACTGCCCGATGATAGATGCGCCTGTGCCCCACGCCCCGCTGGAAGGGTCCTGTGGCCCTTTCCTTAGTAGTCTCGGGAAGGTAGGGGACCCCTATATGAATTGCTGCCCTGCTAGAGAGACATTGGCCCTTGGGGGTCCAGCTTCCAAGCAAGGGCCTGGGAGGGGGCGTGGCCGGAAATTTCCGGTGACCTGGCCTCCCAAGGCGGAGGAGCATGGCCTGCCAGGCTGGGTGGGGGGTCAGGTGGGGTTGAAGAGACGTTGGAGTGGTCTGGGTCAGAGGCTGAGGGGTGGCTTCCGGAGACCGGCCTCCTTCCTGCTCTTTCTCCACGTTTCCTGTCCCTGAGGCCTGTCACTGCATCTCCACCCGCTGGGACCCTTGCCTTTGCAATGTGGCCACTGCCTGGCTTGTGGGGTGTTGTGGTTCCTGAGGCCCCACCGTTTTGGGCAGCGGTTTCCTGGGCTCTCTGCCATTTTTGCTAGGGCAGCCTATGCCCAGACTTCCTGGTCCCCCCGGCCCTGTTTGCAGGGGCCTGTAATTGCCCTGGGTGTTAGAGGGATGATGGCGTCTAGTGGAGGGTGGGCCTAGTGGAGGGGTCAGGAGAACCAGACAGGGCTTGGCAGGTGCTCAGACTGTGTGTGCTGTCTGCATGCCCCCAGGGGCAGTTAGGTGACGCCTGTCCTCCCAGGTGGGAGGCCCTGGGAGGACTCTGCTGAGAGAGTCCCCAAGGGTGAGCCTCCGGCACCTCATTGGGCAGCAGAAAGGGCAGGCAGCTCTCTGGGGGGCTCCGTGGGGGAGCTCTGAGCCCCGCAGGGAGCCCTGGGGTGTCCTGGGGTGTCATCAGGGAAGTAGCAGCCCTGTCCTAGAGCTGACCCCTCTGCTCTGCGTCCTGTCATTGGTGGCCTCTTCCCAAGGCCAGCCTCACTCTCCCAGGGGTCCCGTGATGACGAACCTGGAGCTGCCCCTTCTGATGTGGTGTCAGTTGGGGGAGGGGCGTGGATGCCCGTGCCTCCTGCCCCACCCTGAGCTGTGCAGGCCTGGCCTTCAGACCACCACCTTGGCCCTCCCAGGGAGTAGTCTCCTTGGCCCAGCTCACTTGGCTTCCGGCTAGCAAGGCTGTCCTCGGGACCTTGAAGGCTCTGAGGTGCCCCATGGGGCTTGCTAGCCACCCTCCCTTCCCCAGGGCAGTGCCCAGATTTGGGCTCTGGGAAGGGCCCACTTCTGGGAGACTGGCAGGGTAACAGCAGGTACTTTATTCCTGCTGGGATGTGGGGGACCCCTAGGGAGGAGAGAGTGCTAATGGGTTGGTGGGGCTGCCTGTCAGGCACCTCCCTTCCCCCTGAGATCCCCACTTCCCCAGGTGTCCCATGAAGTCTGCCAAGACTCTCTCTAGATGGGGGGGGGGCGGGTAAAAGACGACTGAGTCTTAAGAGTTGGGTTAGGGAAGGCTGGGGCAGGGCAGGACACTATAAATCTGAGTTCCCCAGGGGTGTGGCCAGAGAGAAGTAAGACTCACTTCCAGGGGTGGGTAAGAGTGGGTCGGGATGGGCCAGACTTTCACTGGTATCTCCCAGACCCCTGGGCACCCAGTGCCTAGCTCCTTGTCTCCAGTCCCGCCCTAACTTCCCGAAAGGACCATGCCTCCCATCTTTGATGCCAGTGTCTTGCCTTCCGTCTCTTGAGTGCCTGCTAATCACCTAAGATGCCCCGAAACCTTGGGAATAGGGCTTCTTCTGAGCTCCAGTAACAGGAAGAGCCTGGGGTTTAGAGAACAGCCTGACATGGGACCGTGGGGTGATGTGACTCCCATGGGGAGGGGAGGAGGGGACTGCCCAAAGGCGCAGCACTGGGACTTGTTTGGGGAGCGGTTCCAGAGTCCAAGCTTTGTGTTCTGTGTGTCAGCCCAGTGCCAGGCGGGGGCAAGGCTTCAGGGAAGGGTTGGAGCTCCCCTAGGCACCTGAAGAGGCCTTTCCCAGGTGGCTTAGAGCCAGCGTGCAGGGAACAGTGGTGGGAGCAGAATGGACAAGGGTGGCCTGCTTGGCATGGACTCAGAGGCTGGGACTGAAGAGTCCCCCAGGCCTGCCCTGTGTGCAGGGACCTATGTGCCCATCCTGGGATGCAGGTGCCACCTGACAGCCGTTTGACAGAGAGGGTGGTGAAGCTGTGAGTTTCAGAAAACCCTAGGACCACTGGCTTAACAGAGAGAGAGGGAGACTGGTGTTTCTCAAGCACTGAAGGAGCCCAGCTGGGGGCGTAGAGTGCTTGGGTCCTCTGTTCTGTGCCTCCACCATTCTTGAGGTTCTGGGGGCCCACATCGTGGCCACATTCTGGCCACTAAGGTCAGAGGGAGAGAGATTAGAAATCTGCTTCCATCCTAACGGCCAACGCCTAGTTGTCATGGCAGCGTATAGCTGCAAGGGAGGCTGGCAGGCAAGGGGCTCCTTCTGCAGTGTGTGTCCTAGCTCAGTGCTGTCCACAGTGGTTAGGGCTCAAACACAGAACGGCCCAGCCTCTTAGAGCTGCCGGGCTACATCCTGGCCTGGCCCTGGGTGGATGGCTGCGTGGGGACGGTGCAGTCAGGGAGGCCTGGCCCCAGCCCACATCACTGCCCAGGTTGGGGCAAGTGCTGTGTTCTGCTAGGCCCCCCGCCCCAGTATCTTCTGCAAGGAAACCAGCGCTCCCTTATCCCTACCCCGTCCCTCCCGGAGGATAAGGGGCCCTTATCCCTCTCATTAATGGGTGGGTGGGGTGCACCAGTGGGGCCATCTGCGCCACTCCCCAGGCTCTTCCCCCAGTGCTGGCCCTCCAGTTTCTGAAGCCCCTTCTTCTGAACACCCCGGGCATTCTGTGGGCTGGAAAGCTCCCTCCCCCCCTGCACGGCCTGGTCCCGTCTTTGTGCCCCAGCTCAAATGGCGCTTGCTGGAAATTCCCCTGTACTGCCAGGTGGCCTCGGGAAGCCGTTAGGTGGCCTGCACACAGCCTTCCCGACAGGGCCTCTGTCACCGCGAAGGGTCTGGCCAAAGACAGGTCAGCTTCAGTTCTGCACGGCTGCCTAGGTGTCCGGGAGCCAGGCCCCAGGGCAAGGGTCAGCGTGTGGCTGTGAGGCAGAAGGACAGCGTGGCAGTGGCCTAGACAGTGGCCTTGACCTGTCTCCCCACAGCCTGGGACAGGTGCTAGCTGGGGGGGGGGCAAGCCCCTGCAGTGAGCACTTCTCTGAATTCTCGTGTCATTGGCACCATGGCCACCGTGTGTGGAGGCTCTGAGTGCCTGTTGGGAACCCCAGAGCCGCCCAACCTGGTTGTGTTAGCCTTTCACACCCTTCACTTCACGGACAGGAAGCGGCCACTTAGGGAAGTCAAGTGCCCTGCCTGGGGCGAGACTGGCAGGAAGGAGCCAGGGTCTGTGTGCCCCAAAGCCAGAGTACCTGGGCCAAGCTTAGATTGCTCAAGACATCTGGGCTGTTTGAGGCACTCAGTACCAGGCTGGTGGTTCCCACCTGGGTCCTGAGAGAAGCAGGGTGCGGTGAGGACACCCCCTTTCAGGGAGCTGGCTGCCCCTGCAGGGGCTTGGAATGGGGCTGGGCTGGCCTTTGGCACAGCTGGCACTCAGCCAGCTCCAGCCGAATGGCAGTGCTACCCTGGGGAGCCCAGGAGCTGGGCTGAAGGTGGCTAGAAGCTGTGTGAGCCCCAGACAGGCCCCAGTGTCGGTCATCTGGCCTGGTTTTGGGGTCCTGGCTCCTTTGGCGGAAGGAATAGAGCAGTCCCTGCTCCTGTGGGGTTGATAGCGGGAGGTCTGGCCAATTTGAGCTTTCTGCTGGAAAGGCCAGAGCAGGCTTCCAGCCCTGCTGGGGGGTGGGGGCGACTTCAGAGCCCAGGGGAGGCCTCAGGACGCTGCAGCTGGCAATTCCACCTTGTGCTTCTCAGCACTTGGGATGGGGAGGCCGCTGGCCAGCAATTTTCACTGCTCAGAAGCGGGGTGAGCAGCGGAAGCCCAGGCCCAGGCTGGCCGCCTGGTTGGGTGAGTCTGCTCAGCACAGCATCCTGCCCTCTGTGCAGCGGGTGTGATAATGGTGGCCGCCTGCGAGGGGATCGTCTGGACTAAAGGAGCCCTTGGTGGAGTAGTTGGCACAGAGTGTTCAGCCAGCCAGCCACGAGAGTGGTGACGTTATGACACCTGCCTCCTTGGTTAGAACTGCACTCGGCAGCACAGGGACCCCAGCCTGGTGCCGGGTCCACGCGGGGCCCGGAGATGCCTGTCAGGTGCCTCTGGGGGGGGGGGGTCATCTGCTTCCTTCCTCTTTGAGGGAGCATTTCCCAAATGATTATCTCTGTTCTCCACTTTTGCACAAAAACTTAGTAAGACATTGGGAGAAGGGGAACCAAGCACCGCACGGGTCCCTGGCAGGTTACCGTTGCTCCTTTGGGGACGGTTCCTCTGTGTCCCTGTCTCCCAGGATCTGTTCTCCTCTCAGCCCACGGTCAGCCATGTCTCTGAATTTAGTTGTTTGTAAACGCACTGCCCTGGGAGCCTTGGCTCCCTTCTGTTCTTGTCACCTGGCCCCACCTGTGCAGAGACCCAGCCTTAGTTTCAGTCTGTCCGTCTAGGGAGAGGCCAGGGCTAACTGCTGGGGCAGAGCCTGGAGAAGGCACTACCAGGCACCGCCTGCTGGGCGCGGTTTAGACAGTAGCTTTCACTGTATGTAGGTTACAGCGCAGGGAAGCTGCAAGGTGCAGATACGGAGGGAGACCTGCAAAGGCCACTGTTGGTTCTCCAGAGCTGCTGTGAGAGAGAGTGGCTCTCCCAGCAGAGCGTTAGTTTGTTGCAGCCCGGGAGGCTGAGTCGGAATTAGCCTTCTCTCCAGGAAGGTCCTGGTTCCTGGGCAGGCTCTGACCTCATCTCTCCTCTGGCTTGTTTAATCTTTTTTTATCTATCAAAAGAGATTGACTCCAGATATACCCCACACTAACCCTGCTCATTAGCATAGCAAAGGCAGCACATTCCCGAATGGGATTGTAACCACAGGCAGGGGTGAGGAGTTGCAACTCCTACTTACAGGGCAGTAATTAAATCCATAACAGCCGCTGGGAGTGGGGGTGGGGAGAGAAGGGAGGGGCAGGGAGAGAGGCCACTCCAGTGCATTTCAGCTGGATGCTGGGTCTCTCACCCTTGCAGATCTGTGTGGGAGGGTGAGTGAGTGTGTAGTTACTATGTGGAGTAGCGTCTAAGGTATTCAACTGCTAACCAGAAGGCAGGCGGTTCAAACCCACCAGGCACTCCTCCGAAGGAAGACTGGGCAATCTATTTCCGTAGTGATACCGCCTTGGAAACCCAAGGAGGGGTGGCTATGAGTTGGGTCTGACTCAACAGTGAGGTTTTTCTGTTTGTTTTTAATGTAAGTGGAGTAATACACTATGATGACAGTCTGTTGTAGTCTGCATTGTGGGCTGTGATGGGGCCCCCATCAGTGTCACTGTGGGGAGCATCGAGGCCACTCTGGTTTCCCCACAGGGAGTATCTCTGGACCACCTCAGGGTAAATTTCCAGCGGTGGTGCTGAGACTGGAGGGACCAGGCTTCCCTAGGGCTTCTGCCAAGCTGCCACCCTGCCCTCCATGAAGCAGGGACCCGGGCAGTGTGGCCTCAGTCCTGCCAGCAGCTCCCCTGGCTTCCAGCAGCCACCTTGTCAACACCTGGAGCTACCGGCTTGCCAGTCCGTGCCAGTCAGAGGGGTGGGGAGGGCAGGCTGGTTCCCATCTGCATGGCTTTGCTTGTCATTGCCATGGCGTCGATCCTGACTGGAGACTGTTGCCATGGCGTCAATCCTGACTGGTGATGGGTGTGTGCAGAACAGAACTGCTCCGTGGGTTTCAAGGTCGTGACCCTTCAGAAGCCAGTCACCAGGCCTGTCCCCCAAGGCTCCCCTGGGTAGATTTGAACCATCGACTTCTTGGTTGGTAGTTGAGCACTTAACTGCCACCCAGGCCCCTCTGACTTACAGTGAGGTGGAGTTTGTCCCTGCTCACTAGCCATTCATTTATGTGTGCACATGTGTGGTATGTGGTGTGTCTGCATGTGTGTAGTACGTATATGCTGGTGTGTACATGTGTATGGTGTGTGTGCGCATGTGTGGCGTGTGTGCATGTGTGGTTGGTCTCTGAATATGTGTGTGGCGTGCATGTGCGTGCATCTATGTATGCACATGTGTGACATGTGTCTACATGTGTGTGGATGCATGTGTGATGTGTGTACACATGTGTGCTGTGCATGTGCGCGTGTATGGGGTGTGTGTGTATGTGCACTACCTGTGTCTGGCCTTTCCCGCCTCCTTCAGCCCTCACAACCCCAGAACCAGCAAGTCCTGGAGGGAGTGCACTGAGATGGGGGCATCTGAGAAGGAGATGCCCCTGCTTCCAGCTCCAGGGAGGGATGGCAGCCTAATCTTTAGAGCAACCCCAGCCTCACCTGCAATGTGGGGTAATGAGTGTTGCTTTTCCGTCCGAGTGCAAGTCCTCAGGTGCAGCTGGTCTGGCCAAAAGTGGCTTTGCATCCAGGACCTGGCTTTGATTGTGCGTTTCGAGCTAGGTCTGTGACCTGGGGCTCGCCACCTGCCCTCCTTTGTGTAGAGGGAACACATCCCTCCCTAGAGGGGCTGTTGTGTCCATGGGATAGACGGTCCCGTTCCAGGGTTAGGAGCCCCGGTGCGGGGCCGCCGTGTCCCCTCAACCCCTCTGCCATCCGTGGGGGATCAGAAGGACCCAGGGGCTCTTCAGGGAGCCCTGAGCAGTGAGCATCACCCTGTTGCCAGACTGCTGTGCCTTTCTGGCCGTGAGCAGAGCTCCCCTGTGGAGCCGGACTGCAGCTGGCAGGTCTCTGTTCCCACCTAAACCCTCTGGGCCTGGCCTACAGCAGTCAGTCTCTTTGGATAGCTGGAGCTGGGCATGGGAGAGTTGATGTGCCCTGCTGACATATCTGGGCGCCCCTACTGCGTGCTGCTTTGGGGAGCCGGTCTGGCACTCGCAGATGTCCAGGACGACCTCCCCAGAGGACTTTGCCACCTGCAGGCTCAGGGGCCAGGACTGAACGTGGGCTTCCAAGCCTGGTTTCCTGGGCCGTGTCCTGCCTCTGCATCTCAGCGTGACCATGGGCGGGTGTAACCTTTCCAGGCCAGAAACACCATCTGAAATGGGAGCCAAGGGCAAGCCTGTAGGGCCTTGGAGAGAGAGGGCAGCCGGAGGTCAGAACTCTGCACAGCTCTCCCTGGCTTGCGTGGCCTGGGTTAGGTCCCTTCCCTTTGCTGGGCTCTGCTCCCAGTGTGTGGTGGGCTTCCGTCCCCTGCAGGGGATGCAGGGCCCGCTCCTCCCTTGTTGGGTCCTTTGGTCCATAGGGTTGGCACTGGGCTCTCAGCTGCCTCACCGGCCTGGGTCCTCCCCTTCCACCACCAGCCTCCAGGTCCCAGACTTTGTGCCCCTGTGGGAGGGCTGGGGGAGCGAGGATGCAGCGAGGGGCAGACCCTTGAAAAGCAGACCAAGAGGAGACCTTTCCCTTTTGGGAAGCACAGCCATTGAGACTCCCCGCCCCTCTGGGGGAGCCAGGCAGGGCCTGGAGGGCTGGCTCAGGGTCACACAGCCGGCCTGGAGGGCTGAGGGTGGGACCGAGTGCCACACCTGGGGAGCTTCCGACTCAGGAATGTGGCTTCGCCCTGAGAGGGAGGTCTGAGGTCCCAGTGGGTGGGGCATACTCCCTGTGGACCCTCTGGGGATCCTTCTCGACTCTTCCAGCTTGGGGGGGGGGAGCTTCCTGGGTGTCCCTGGCTTGAGGCAGCATCCCCCAGCTGCCTCTTTTCCCATGGCTGTCCCCTCTGTACCTCCGTGTCTTTTGACAGGGAAACTCGTCACTGGGTGGAGGCCCTTCCCCAAGCTAGTGGCCTGATGGAGATTACGTGTGGGGTTAGGATGAGTGCAGTGCAGCTTGAGCCACACAGCCCAGAACCCCGGGTCTCATCTAGACTAAGGCTGGTTCTGCTGCAGGGGTCCCCTCTTCCTGCCCTGCGACACCCCTCCCCGTTTCCAGGACAGCACCACAGGAGCACTGCGCCCCACTCACTGTTGTCTCCCCTGCAGAATCATAAGCTGGTTCGTGCGCTCCTTTAAGTACGCCTATGGGCTCCGCTTCGAGACCCGGGGCCGCGAGAAGCTGGAGGTGGACCGGCCGTGCGTGATCATCTCCAACCACCAGAGCATCCTGGACATGATGGGTGGGTGGGGCCGCGGGGGTCCAGGCCGGAGCAGCAGGCGCTGCTTCTGGGGTAGTGCTGGGGCCTGCTCACTTGGGAGCTGACACGGGGCAGGCAGGGGACCTTGGCCTGGAGCTGGGTGCTGCAGGCAGGAAGCGGGCTCTGAGAGGTGGCCAGTGGGAAGATGTGACTTGGGCGAGCCGGAGAGATGACAGGCCAGGGCTCCGAGTGCCCCTTCTTCCCTCGGCGCATGGGGTGGTGGCCGGCCTGGGCTCTGAGCACCCCTACCTCCGTGGTGCAGGCCTCATGGAGATTCTCCCCAGACGTTGCGTGCAGATCGCCAAGCGGGAGCTGCTCTTCCTGGGCCCCGTAGGCCTCATCATGTACCTGGGGGGCGTCTTCTTCATCAACCGGCAGCGCTCCAGCACTGCAGTGACCGTGATGGCTGACGTGGGTGACCGCATGGTCAGGGAGAACGTGAGTGCTCTGCCAGGCCCCAGCCACCCAGTGGCTGCAGGAACATTCTCGCAGGTGCCCTGACAGCACGGAGCGAGACTCTGATGGTGTGGAAAAGGCCCGAGAGGAGTGGGTCGGGGGCTTCCCTTAGCGGAGGTCACTTGAGAAGTGCGGGGAGAGGGAACATGGCCCCTGGGGTGACTACAGGGCCACTCCCTGTCCTCCTGCAGCTCAAAGTGTGGATCTACCCCGAGGGTACACGCAACAGCAATGGGGACCTGCTGCCCTTCAAGAAAGGTGCCTTCTACCTGGCTATCCAGGCCCAGGTACAGCCGCCCTCCTGGGAGGGGGGAGGGGGGAGCAGGCCCACGTACAGCCGCCCTCCTGGGAGTGCCCTCCTGGGAGCAGGGTGGGGATGGGGGGTGGGGGAACAAGCCCAGGTATGGGGCCCCGCCCTCCTGGAGGGGGAACAGGCCCAGGTACAGCCGCCCTCCTGGG